TCGGACTAGCGATGCAAATGTAGCCGACCGAAATTGCTAATGAAGCGGGAATTTGAGAAGTAACGTTAGTTTGAACAAAGGGGTTTGATTCGAACTAACACGTTCCAGAGCACACTTCCTGGTTCAAATCAGCTGGCGAGCGAAATAACGTGTGGGCGAGATTATGCTAATGAAGCATGGGATAGTTAAATCCCTGCTTCACTAGCAATTTCGGTCAGCTACATGTGCATCCCTAGTCCAAACTAGGGAGCAAGTATAGACATACCCTCTGGGAATCAGGGAACCATAACTGGCCTCCTGATGGATGCCTTTCTCTGCTGCTGGACTGTATTTTTGATGTAATGGAACATATCAGAGTGAATTAGGTTGCAGGAGAAGAAATGGGTGAGGGGACAAAAGGGGGACCTGGTGTGGGGAAAAGAGGAAGCTGGGAGAACTGTCCATTTCTAGAATACTGTGAAGTTTTAAAACAGCAATTGTTTTAACTACAATATACCAGCAAACACAAGGAGTATAGAACCCAAGATCTTTGTTTCAGAACAGCCCACTTCTATGATAGCCAAAGGACCAACCCCTTTAGTAGCCGTTGTTGTAAAGTGTCTAGGGATGACATGAACACACACCTCTTGCCTATATGTTATATATGTTTCCTAGGAGGGCAAACTTTTGCGCAATATATGTGGTCCACAGTTCAAATAGACAACTTTGCAACCCCTGTTGCAATTCATACTATGCTTCCTTGTTCCCAAGATTTTTTAAGTATTACTAATTAATAGTCATTTTATACACATGCTACATCAGTGGTCCCCAACCTTTAGAGGCTGCCGGGCGCCAGGGGGCGTGGCCGTTCACCTGCCGGGCGCCAGGGGGCATGGCCGTTTGCCTGCCGGGCGCCAGAGGGTGGGGACACTCATGCACCCGGGGGCAGGGCTGCGCATACGCCACACCCCCATGTGCTATGTGCCTCAGATCAGCAACCCTATGAGCTGCATGGCCATGGGGAGGAGGCCGCCCATTCGCAGCAAGCGTGGTGCCAGTGTCCTCCAGAGCCGCGAGCCGGCGCCCCCCACCCTCCAAGCGCCGCGCACCCGGGGCACGAGTGGCCAATTCGCGGCGCTCCCGGGGCCGGCGCTTACCATGTGCCCGGGCCTGCTCCGGCACGATGCATGCACCACGTGCCCGGGGCCAGGCCAGCTCCGAGCACTTGGCGGGCGCACAAAAATGGCCCCGCGGGCGCCATGGCGCCCACGGGCGCCATGTTGGGAACCACTGTGCTACATTTTTATTAAATAGCTTGTATTTTTCATGGTCCCACATTTTATTTTTCAGTAAAGAAAATAGTTGGGATTGGTCCTGCCTTGGGCAGGGAACTGGACTTGATGACCTCCTGAGGTCTCTTCCAGCTCTGAGTCTATGATGCTATGAACATTGATGCTTAAATATTCTCAAACAAAACAGTTTCTCAGGTGTTTTTAGAATGTTCAATAGTCTGCCCCCCTTGAGTGAGTTCAGGGTCTCAGCAAATTCTATGTGATTTCATTGTACTTCTGGATGATGACAGGTTACCTATTTAACAAAGGGGTAATTTCCGTTCTTTATGCTGTAACATTACAAGTGTGTTTCCTGGAAACTGATGGGAAAGAGAGACCAAAAACCCCCGATTTTCTCATTTCCTCTATATTAAAAATAAAGTACACTCATTTGTGGTCGATAGCCCCCCACCATTGTTAAAGGTTTTTTATCAAGTTGCCATCCTATAAAAGAGTAGAAAGAGGGAGAGATGTTAGGGTAGCTTGGTAAAATAAGATGCACTGTAGGGTTTTAACCAGATTAATTTGCAGATTGAGCCAGATCCTGCAGCAAAATCTGAACACCCTTGCACAAAACTGACTGCAGAAGGTTCTGTTCAGGGGGCAAAAATTTCACTTTCATATATGCAGTTGCAGGACCAGGGTCAAAGACTGAGACTTGACGAAGATCCAGACTGAAGCTTGAATCCTGGGAAAAAAAAAAAAAAGAATAAATGAGCCAGCTCAGAGTGTGTAAAATTAAGCATGTCCATAAATTTTTGCAGGATCAGGAGCTTAAATTAACTCTTTTAACAATTAGTACAAGTGTTATTTGAAATTAGAACAATTTCATCTGATTTCTTTTAAAACAGTAATAATAATATTTAGCTTTTATATTTATCAACTTCTCCCCAAGATTGTCATGGTGACTATCTTGTTGTCGGTGCTGTTGTAGTTGTTTTTTGATAGAACACATTCAAATGATCAGGAGCCATTGCTTGTTTACATTTAAAAGTCACAAATTTGCACACTATTGCAAGATTACAAACATCTTTTTATGAGTGGCTTTTATTTATCATCACATGTTACTATAAGTTATGTCAAAAATATGTGTTCACATGCAGATGTTTCCTGCTTTCCCAAGATTTCAAAGCAAGCACTTTTCCTTTGACCTCACTTTTAGTGGTTCATGCATAAAGTTTGCTCTATATTTAGGACTTTAGGTTGCTTCCAAGTGACATACTATTTTCACATATGGAAATAATGTTACTTCACAGGTGTGAGTTACCATTTGGAATTTACTTCAAAGCTAAAGTGTGAAGAAAGGCATTGATATTTTTTTCTAGTGTTGAACATCCTAAAGGTACTGTAAGGTATTAGATATATGATGACCCCATTGCTTCAGGGCTTAGATAGCTAAAACTGAAGTTTTACGTGCTTAGGAACAGTAGGCTTGGCCTCCAAATTGTTATATATTGAAGAACATTGGTTTCATTGCATTACAGATAAGCTAAGCCATAAAATTCAGTTTCTGTTCTTGAGAAAGACCCACATTGAGAAGTGTTTGGAATCAAGGATTTGGTTAATTTTAGTCATTCTAATTGCCACATTTGGAAATCAGAAATCAGATGTGAATTTTTAGATGTTCTCAAGTTCAGAGATAATTAGAAAAGATTTTTGTTTGTGCCCATCCCAAGCTGAGCCTGATGAAATTGTGCAGTTGTGAAAATCTTAATTAGTATACAGTAATATCTGCATAATATCTGAGTACCAAAACCAACCTGATATTAGCAGATGTGAGTTTGGTTTGATGGGCACCCTGTATAACACTTGCTTTTCTTCGTTTATTAGGTTTTCTTTAAAAAAGGAAAGGTGATGGTTTATTAATATATTTTTATTTGCGTTCACTTTCACAAATAGATCAAAGTTATAGCCTATGGCATCATTTTGGGATATATTGATTTTTCTTCTTCCATTCTCCATTTCATCCAGCTGCAATCATTTTAATGCTATCTACCCTATGATTCTAAGGGTAATTCTTCAATGTTTTCCCTCTGATCAAGCTATGAAGGGATTACACTTGCATACTCCCCTCTGGAAACTTAACACATCTCCTCATTAATATTTCCGCAGAAAATATTAAGTTTTCACAAGACACATGATAATTTACTTGTACACATAGAATTTTAATTATATGTTAAGATCACTTATTGTTTGTTATAGCAGAGAGAGAGGGGGGAAGAGAGAAACTAATATGGATTTTTTTTCATTATGCTTGATTTATATTGGTAAGTAGTTTGACTAGAGATGCTAGATGTTATCTTATAAGACCCTATTGTTTCTCTCATGCTTCTTGGTGACTGTTTTGTCTCTTTCATCCTTACACATTCTAACATGTCTTTTTCTTTCCAGTGCTTTGGGTTTTATTCTCCAGTCTTTCAGTTAATTAATCAAAATCTTCTGTTTCCTGTTTATTCCGTAATGAGTAAATCTGAAGCCATTTTCTTCTGGCACACATTCTTACTTTAGATTGTTGAAAAATCTATATTGTTACTTTACAAAAGAGATACAAATTATGAGGGCCAGCAAGGAAGGGCACACTAAAAAAATGACACCATAGAAGAAAGGCTTTACATTGTTATCTGTAAAATTAGGTAATGTAATGCTATCCTGCTATTCTAATTATGTTCTATCCCTTTGTATATGTAACCTAGTTTTGTTATTTTAACCATGACTCCACAATGAGCAGCCGTTTTCATTGTGTAACTAGCCACAGTGAAGTGGTTACAGAATATGGTACCCAGCATTGTGTATAATTAGTTCACATTATTTCTTTCCATGTGTATTATTTTATGCATGTCAATACTGAATTTCATCAGCTATCATGCTGTCCATTCACCTAATGTTGTTAGATGTCTTTGGAGTTGTCCGTAATCTTCTTATGTAATGGACACTACTAAAAAAATGTCATGTCCTCTGCAGATTTTGCTGTCACCTTTTCACCACTATTCCAGAATCTCACTGAATATATAAATCACTACTCAAGCTAATAATTGACCCAGGCCGATAGTTTAGTCTGACTTTTTGTTTCTGTCTCTTAGCTAGTTCCTCATTCAGGGCAGAACTTCACCTCTTGTCACAGCACTTAGTTTCCATTTATGAGGAAGGTTGTTAAAGACTTTTTGAAGTCCATGTGCATTCAGTTACCTTTTCTCTCACTCCAGGGCCAAGATGATTTTTGAGCAATTGCCCCCTTCACCAAGCTGTTACAGAAAAGTAGAAAAAAATGCAATTATGATCATTAAATATGGACAGTGTTGAGGCTTGAACAAAATGTCACACTGTAGTTTTATAGAATTCTATTGTGTATTATATAGTATTATGTATTGTAATATTGCTATGAAGAATGTGTAAAAATAACCTGTTTGTAAAGGAATATATAATCACTTTAATTCCCCTGTAATGTAAGCTTTTATGAGAAAACACAAGTTGAATTATAGCATTTCAGAAACAGTTTTGTTTCATACAAGTTAAATAGCATCCAGGTAAAGTTTCAAGGCCTTGCTTCAGTAAAATATTTAAGCCTCTGCTTAAACTTTTTGCCAAATCAGCACCTACAACGATGTTATTATATGCAGTTTACTGCTGATTTCCTTTTCCACATCAAAGGTTATGTATGTTAAATAATGCAGCGATCTCTGAACTTCACAGGACAACAACGTGTTTCTGTGACCAGTCTGCTGGTATGCCATGGTTTATTGTTGGTTGGAACAAATCTGGGTATTATAGTAGCACTACCTGTGCCTCGTTTGCAAGGAATTCCAAAAGTAACTGGTGAGTACAATTTTTTATACATTTTGTATGATGGTGTGTTGAAGACTGACTCTTCAGTGCATTATTTATTCTGTAAATCAAGTAATATTTAAATTTTGTGTATTGTATAGACATGGAGTGAGCTTTTTTCTGAGAATTTGTTGTTCTAATTAGTTTATAGTGTATCTATAATTTGTTTCTATTATCTTCTCTTATTTTTGCTTTATTAAATCAGCATCCATGTTCTTTCCAGGCAAAAAGTGGCATGGAAGTTAGCTCTTCAAGTCATATATTATGGAGGGACAAAATCCCTCTCTGTCTAAGACTTGCAATACTGGAAAGAGAAATGTTGCTGTACTCTATAGTTTTTTGGAAATGTTATATCAGAATATAAATTGGCATGTGGGTAGGGGAGGAGAGTCAGAAGCGATATTTCTAAATGGGGGGGGAAGAGATTTTGAACGTTCAGTGTTTTCCCTGATTGGTTATTTTTGTGACATGATCGCTTCATGATATTGAGGCTTTGAAATGTAAAATGTGACTTATTGGTAGCTTTTGACAACTAGAGCATTTGGGGGCCTGATGCAGACACAACACACCTTATTTTGATAGTTATTCATTTCTGAAATAGGAACATCAGAACTCTGCCAACGTTTTGCAAACATTTTAGTTCTGCTCTTAACTATTAGAATAAAGCAAAAAAGAGTGTTGGATGTGGAACGTGTGAAGCTACACTTTGATTTCAGAACTCCACCAGAATTTCTGAGTTGTAGAGGGAAACAGGCCGACGTTATGAGCCAAGCAACTTCTCTCTAGTTTCCATAATAAACTTTGCATTAATCAAAACTTCTGTAACTTTACCAAAATAAATACAAGATTTACTGCTATTCAGAAAAATAATTATGTATCAATAATTCAAGAGAAAATAGTATTTTAATAAAAATCCAAAAAGATGCTTAGAAGGAACTTTAAAATAGATGGATTGTATAGAGATCATAGTTAATGTAATCCAAAAAAACCCACAAAAAATAACTCTTAGCCTTCCATTTCTACTTTGGTTACTTTGTCTGAGCTATACACTCTTAAATTTATTTTTTGGATTTAGACTTTTTCTTCAGGCCTTAAAAAATCCGAAGCTCCAGATATTTTAAATTTGAAGAAGACGTACTTTTATAGTTTGCAAGTTAGGTATTGGGAATGTGAATCTCAGAACACTGATTTTTATAATAGGATCATTTCATATGTGTGACTCTAATAGCAATTGTGATAATTCATCATTACACCTTTGCATTTACTGGATAAGGGGGCTTGTCTGTGTGGAAGTGTGCTTTACGGAGTGTGATTTCTCATTCATTAATTCATGTGCTATTGCACACTCAAGAGTTCCTCAATATACCTTAACGTAGTGCTGTTACTAGCAAAGGTGCTGGAACAATTGGTATAGTAGGGATGCGGAGAGCCATTGAACTAAGCTATAAACCCTGTACATAATAGAAACTACACTAAGTCAGGTGCAACAACACCTCAGCACCTACGATCAGAAGGCTCTACATGGGCTAATTAATACCTAACACATTAGTGCACTCTAGAAATCATAATCCTGTGGAATGTATTACCCTATTGTGTAGCCAAGCCCTAAGTCAGTGTTTCTCAAAGTGGCCTGCAGCCCACTTTGAGAAGGCTGTTAACGGGCCTCTCCTCTTTGTTTATCTAAAGGCTCTGTAGCCACGGCACTTCACGGTTCCCATTGGCTCCAGTTCACTTCATTCACTCCCGTTCTTTGAGATGTATTGCTTATGTCCATTAACTTCCCACCTTCCTCCCCTCTGTCAGAGTTCTGGCAAGAAGGAACTGAGGAGGGAGGGGCTGGGGAGTGTCCTATATTGTATGGTATATGTACACCACTCCTGGGGGTTCTGGGTCACTGGCCCCTATGGTTACTGCTTAGGGGAAAACTTCCAGCACTGGTGCATGTGTCACGCACACAAACCTATGTTGAATGGACATGAGCAACACATCTTGAAGAACACCAGTTACAGAACAGGTAACTGTCTTTTTTGAACAAGTGAATGTTATCATGTAAATGTACCACAGGCTTGGAGTGAGCATGAGGTGGGTTCTGCAGCATGCTGCCAGCACCATTTTGGGCTGGCAGAAATGAGACGGAGAATTTGCCAGGCAGGCCAGAGAAGGGAAGAGGAAAGGTAAACAGGCAAATGGGCAAGTGCCCTCTCTGCCATGGTCTGAAAATAGTTTATAGCTGTGGCTTTAGCATGAGACAAAGGCTGATTGCCTGGTTGGAGCAGACACCATTTTATAAACTTGTACGGGGGGGTGCAAATGGGCAGCATGGACAAATGGAAAGAGGGTGGGATTAATGGCTAGATACCTAGAAGGGCCACTAACTCACATCCACTCCAATGATTGCAGCCATGGAGCATCCAGAACAGAAGGTAGAATGTACAGAAGCTTAGCACCATTATAATAATAATAGTATAAAATGTAAAGACAGGTACTTACATGCTGAAGTTTCCTCCAGCAGATCTGCCTCTTCAGTTCTAGCCTTGTGTTTCTGGCTGAGATTCAAACTCAGTTTATGCATGGCAGTCATCAGGGTACACTTCAGCAGGGCATGACTGCAGCTGGCTTTCCAGTCAGTCCGCATCAGAGTCCCTGGATCTAAAAAAGACCCTAGTTCTCAGCAGACAGCTCCTCTCCAGCATCTTCCCATTCAACTTCTAATTGACCTTTCTAGTGATACTTGAGGTGGGGGAGATTGTGCCCCTGGGTGCCACATGGTTTCTTGAAAGGGTTGTACTATATGTAGGATTTTGTCCAGTTCATCATAAAATGAACAGGCCAGATTGCCTCCTTTTGTCCCAATTTACAGTGTATTTACTCCTGAGCAGCTTGCTCTTTATCTAGCACTGATCGGCATCTCTGTCATGACACCTTGTTGACATCTGCTTGGCAAGTGCCACTAAAAGATCTTTATTCTTCTGGCTGGCCACAAAAGCTGCACACACTGTTGCTTCTCTCCAGAATGTGATGAGATCCAGGGTCTCAGCAAATCTCCAAGCAACTGTGCAAGGCATTTTTGGCTTCTGGAGAGCTATCACAGTTATATTGCAAGAATATTAATTTGCTTAATAACGGGGATAGGTGGAATGGATATGCCAGAGCACATTGGCAAATCCTGGCTCTGCATGAGCTTTTAAAGAAGAAATGTCCTGGGACCATGACACATAGGCAAGGCACATCAGTGAACAGCTAGGTCAGTAAATGTTGACCCACAAAGCACAATGGGATAGCCATTGGCAGCATGGAGAAAGTGGTGTGCAGCAATTGCACCTGCATGAACAATATAGACCACACAAATGCAATCTGCAGCAAATTTGGAGTTAGTGCATCGTGATGGACTGCATCAGGTACATACAACCATTTTCAAACTGGATCAGCTTGGTTTGATCTGCTTGAAGTGCCTTGTCCAGACAAGCCATTAGATGATGTGTGTAGATATGCTGTTTCTCTTTCAGTTTACTGATATGAGGTACATCCAATTGTGCATATTTGGAACCTTGATTTACTATATATGAATCTGTCTTTGGGTATTTCACAACATTCTCTCATTCCAAATCATGCCTGATTCTTTCTGAGGCCAGTAATCTTGTCTGAGATGCAGGCATATCTGACAACCACATCCCTACACCTAGGTGTATGTATGGCAGAATGTTGTTACATCTCTTCTTCACTCTCTGTGCTATTGAAAGATCCTTAGATTTTCACATTATTAAATATCTTCTGAATTTGACCCTAGTGATTTCCTTTTGATAACATCTTTGGTACCTATGAATGCATCACTGCAACTAGAGATGAATGCTTAAGAGCAAGTCCTACCTCCTCCTCTGTGAGTGTGGAGAGCACTGGAATTGATGTGTTAATACTATTCAAGAGGGGTGCAGTAGGATTAACTGAAAACCTTTTATTTTGTTATGGAGTTCTGGAGAAAGCGTGTAATGTTAAGGTTATGACATTGCCAGTTAAAACAAGTCAGCTGAAGAGTTCTTTACTTTTGCTGTTGTGAAAACAGAGAACAAAAAGTATGAATGAAATGTCAACTTATTCTTTCTGTCCTTCTTTTAGCAGATTTCTGATCCAGACTTAATGCATCTTTGATGTACTGTAAATTTTTTTGTACGTTATTCCATGTTTCAGTTCAGTAAATATGTTGTTACCTGATGTGTTTCTTTTGACAGGGTTATGCAAGTCTAATTGAAATTTGTTCTGAGATTAAACTAGTTATGGTGTAAAGCAGTGACCCAAAATGAATGAGATTAATATTACATAATATTTTTTTTCCTTTGGCTTCAGGAAGGGGAATGGTATCCTATCATGCACATAATGGCCCAGTCAAATTCCTTGTAACAGCTACAGCTGTAAACAAGAAAAACAAAAGCAAATCCAGAAGCAGCCTCCCTTCTAACTCTGAATTGAAAGAAGATGACCAAAAAAATGCCCTGCAAAATGATGGACCAAGCTGTTCCCTAAATAACATGCACGACACTGCAGTATGGCTAGGCAGTTCAGTAGGATCCATTGCACAAAGAAGTGACATGTCGTCTTCATCTGGGTCTCTGACGCTGTCTCATGGATCAAATTCCTTAGAACGTAGGCCAGAGGACAGCTCCATTTATGAGCTTTTGAAGGATCAAAACATCTCACTTAAAAGTAAAAAGCAGCGATCCAAGAAAATGAAAGCAAGTTCAGTATTAGTCATCTCTGGAGGACAAGGACATAGAAGGGTGAACAAGAAGACCAAGCAGCAGCGACAGGATGAACTGGTGTCTTCTGTGATGGTTTGGCAGATTCCACTATTAAACATCTAAGTGACTAAAACCATGCTAAATGGTGACTTTTTCAAAGTCATTGAATTTCATTCCTAAACTCTACATTTGTTGTTATGCTTTGTCTTTTAAAGGGTTGTTATCTTACTACAGTGAATTCTAAGGACCCAGCACTGCAGCCATTACTCATGTGAACAGTCCTGTTTAAGTCAGTTGGATTGATCACCTGGGTACGGGCTACACAATAGGATGTTCTAAATAGGTTAAGGAATCTATCCTATTACGATATTGAAAATACTGAGCTGCTTCTGAGGGCTCTGCTACTTAAAATATTGGGGATATATCAGACCCTTTTAAATGGTTTTAGAAACTCTATTTATATTCAAGTTTATATCTGTCATTATTATGATTTGTAGCACTTAGGAGAGGCAGGGAAGACGTAACATTTCACATGCTGGTATTTTGGTTTATTTTGTTTTGTTTCCTTTAGTCACCTCTTTTTCCAAAGTGATACTTGCATGTACTGTACATTTTAACAAAGCAGAAAATATTTTGAGCAATAAAGGTACTAATAAAGGGTAATAGGTTAATTAAGCAATTACTATATAATATAATTCCACAAGACAGTGTGAGTTTTTACATAAAACCCCTCAGTCAGATAGACTGTTTATTTTAATCTTTCAAAGCAAAAACACACAGTTAATTTCTAATCCTTAGTGTTATTTAAAAGTAATGCTACAGGAAACACCAGTGTGTTAAGAGCATTGGAAGATGTGAGATATATGTTGCTTACTTTTACTCTATAGTGGAGGCTCTTGCACATGATCATTTGGAACAAACAGAAAACACAAGTTGGAGATACAAAACAGATGTGCTTTCTCATGAACTTATTGGTGCCAGTGCTTGCAGTGCATTCTGTTGCTGGCAATGGGATGTGCTTCTAGTACCAAGGATATGTAGAACATCTACATGCCATTTTTAACAATACATAAAATTTGCATTTTGTGTTGGCAGGGAAGCAGTTAACGTGGAGAAGTACATAGTGATTCAATGAGTAATGCAGGGAGTCAATACTGAGCATAAGACCTTCTGGATATATCTATATCTACAGGAAGTGCACATATTAAGGCAGGCATTCATCTGAAATCAATTAATGTGTGCTTTACGCATGACTACAGGCTAAAATCTACTACGTAATGTTGGTAGATAGAAGTGTGCTGTAGTGGCCATTTGCAAGCAGCAGGGACCATTTCTCAGCAGTAGTCACCCTTTTCAGCCTGCCAGAATGACAGATGAATAGCTTCTTTTCTAAAATGAATACCGTAAAGATGGAGCCAGAGACTCTGCTGCACCCAATCTTTACTGATGGTGACAGGGCAGGGAGGGTTCAAAGATACTAGTTGGTGGCTTCTCTAGACTACATCAGCTGGTAACTAACCCCAAGGGACTGTCCACCAACTGAGAATGTCTGGATCTTTGGCCACCTGCCCATCCATCCTTCTGGAAGACCCTCCTGGTCCATCTCCTTTTCACATCCAGAGCCAGTGTGGAAGAGAACAATTCTATGGGAATTCTCAACTGGAGTGATCCAGTCAATTTATGCCACTCCGGTATTGCTAAAGTGCCAAATTACAAGAGAGAATCTGGCCATATATGCTCATTTAACAAGTAAAATTGCATGTTGCCTGATTAAGTTAGAGTGCAATGGGAATTTTATTAGCTTTTAGGGTGTTATAGGTCAAATTACTTAAAGGGGTAGCTATTTCCTCCCATAATGTGTGACAATGAAACAAAGCCTCCAATTCAGAAAAGGACTGTACTGAAGCATATGTGTCTTGATTATGAATTCTTTCCTGAACTGAGTTCTAACTAGCTAGGGGATAGCTCGAATACTAGAAAACATAAAAGAGGCCAGGTAAATATTTGACTATCAAACTTCATTTGGTTTTGGTAAACTCTACAGTGCATAATCATCAACACCATGTAAGAGCACAAAATATGAGCAAAACATTTTCAAACCCAGAATAAATGCCAAATGTTTGCATTGGCTAGAATCAAGTAAACAACATATACTTTTGGACTATTTTTATTCCTCCTTGGGGGGAAAATGGTTTTCACATGTTTCAAATGAAGTCCAACACCTCTGATATAAAGTTCTTAATCTAACCAAGCAGTCAGGTCTGTAGGCAGACCCTTATGCCAGTACAGAACTCCACTGACTTCTGTGGAATTGTCCACAGGCATAAAAGACTACTTGTGCTGAACTGACTGCAGAGGCAAGTTCTAATTTTCTGCAAAGGGAAGAAGACAGTTCTAATTCTGCATGGTTCCCCTATTTGGAATTCCATTGCCATGCATGCATGAAGGATTGTACCCACTCTTATGCATCTCTTTATTGTTAGCAACAATGGGCTGAGTCCACTAGTCCACCACAGGTTGAAATGGAATTCCAAAAGATTTGCATGATCTGCTAGTAGAACTACACAACTATATATCTTCAAGTTTTAGAAGACAATATTGTAGCCAAATTGTACTTTCATTTATAAACAGTACAAACACAGCACAGTCCTGCTCCTATGAAAGTCAACTAAGCACTATACATTGTATTATAAAGCTATGAGGCTAAGAGAAATTTTACAGCATTTTATAAAACTATAAGTCAAAGCTCTAGTGAGTAAAAAAAACCTGTTTCCAATATTTGCTTTGTAATAATATTGCCAACTGATATGTCATTAACATCAAATGCAAACCAAAGGTACTTTTACAGTCAATAAAAAAACTTGATAGATACATTTGATCGTATCACGAGGTTGGTCAGATCTGGTTTTAATGTCACTTTGATATAAAAAAAATGTAAGAGGGAAAAGGGAAATAGTGTAACCACTAGCATACATCTCATATTATGTTTTCTAACAAATAATATCTATGTTATAACATGAGCCATAACTGTATTTATGTGCAGAGTAAACTCAGCAAAATGTTTAATTAAAAAACTGTGAATAAAAAATTAAGCTTCAAAAATATATTTTTTTATTAATCATTCTACCAATGGATCTACTAATGGCTATAATTTGTGGAATACAGCAATATATATCAAGAAGAATGAACATTTTTTCAAATGGTTATATGGAGGGGAAAGTAGGACATATATCTAAAAGACCAAAAAGGAATGTTTTTGAATTTACTCCAGTTTTAGGGATCTAATAATTACCACATACATTTTCTGTGAGTGCCATTTGTTGCAGGTCCATGGGCTCTCAAAACTTAGCATAGAGCCTCTGGACCCTAGTGCTGATCCACAGTGAAATTTCTACCACACTATTCCCATGGAATAAAATGTCCAAGTCTGCAGAGTATTCATGACAATGTATAAAAAGTGAAATCCATTAATAAGGGAAATGAGCACAGCAAGGAAGTCAATTCAAATTAACACAGGAAATGAGTTTTCAGCAGTTGCCTGATAATTCTATTGCAGTTAATCAGCATTAAAGGATAAATACAGGCATCTATGCTTATAATACTTAGATTCAGTCAATTCAGTCATGAGGCTTGCATCTAGAATACATAACTTTGTGCTACCCAGGACTTTTGGCTGTGTCTGACTTACCATAAGCAAATAATACGATCAGCCATTGATTCTTTGGTACAATGAAAACTTGTCTTTTTATTACTATTATGCTGCTCTCTTTGCAGCTGTGATTACTGCTGAGCCTTTTTTTTTAAAAAAAAACCTTTCTTTTCCTTCCTTACTCTCCAAGGGAAGTAGGGTACCATGGATAGTTTGCGGTACATTTTTCTGTCATTGCTATTGTTACAGTAGGAACAACAGACACCCCAAACAAATCAGGGCCCAGTAGTGCTAGACATCATAGATACTCATAGCAAAAGACAGACTCTGCCCCTAAGAGTTTACAACGGTAGGCAATTTATAGATGTGACACTGTGAGATAGAATAAATGACTTGCCCAAGGTCACACATGGAGTTTGTGGCAGAGCATAGAATGGAACTACATCTTCTGAGCCCTATTTACAAGTCTTTGTTCCTTTCTTCCTGTTCAATCTGTTTTTCTCTTCCTAAAGGAGCATATTACCATGAGCAGGGCCAGATTTCCAGTTAGATCTAGTAGGCATATGTGTATGAGTGCCAGAATTTTAGGGGCACCAATGAATCAGTAGTGTGGTTGGGAAGTAAAATAAAAAAAGGGGGGAAGCTCCCAACTGCCCGTTGGCTCCTCTCCACCCCTCTAGCCAATCCCCCACCCAATGCTCTCTCCTCTCAGTCTACAGCTGGCCAAGGCCTTCTGTCTCGCCTCTGGGAGATCAATAAGGTAGAAGCCCTCATGTGAGAGTGAGTGCTGGACTGGTAGCCATGCGTGCTAGAGAGTGGCATCTCCTCTCAGAGCTAGGTGTGCACAGGGGCACCCCGCCAGAGCTCCTATCATACACTGCTAAGCCAGATGCTGAGTTCTGTTTGTCTTGACACCTCTTAGAATGGGGATGGGAGTTGGATTACCTTTTTTGGGGGGGGGGGGGGGGGAAGTTTCCCCTCTCTGTTCTGTTTTGTCAGGCTCTGACCTTCTGCCTTAAACCACTTGGAGCTGCTGGAAAGGGAGGGGGGCTGGGGAATTTCTGTCGCTGCAGCGGGCATTGAAGCCAGACTTGCCAGAGCCAGCATCACCCGGGCCGTGTCCAGACTCAGGAGTTTTTTCGGGAAAAGTAGCCTTTTCCCGAAAAAACTTCCCCTGCGTCCAGACTCAAGCCGCATTCTTTTGAAATTATTTCGAAAGAACGCGGCTTTTCTTTCGATGGCGGTAAACCTCATTTCACGAGGAAGAACGCCTTCTTTCGAAAGCTCCTCTTTCGAAAGAAGGCATTCTTCAATGTAAAGAGGCCGTCTTCGAAAGAGAGCATCCAGACTCGCTGGGTGCTCTCTTTCGAAAAAGCGGATTTCTCTTTCGAAAGATCCGCCTGCAGTCTAGACGCGATCTTTTGAAAGAGGCTCTTTCGAAAGATGCTTTCGAAAGAGCCTCTTTCGAAAGAAGCCTGCAGTCTAGACATAGCCCCGAAGTCTTACCAGGGCAGCTTACCCCTGCTCCATGTTCCAGGTACCAGCTCTGCCTGCTGACAGGACTGCAAAGCCTGGGATGGCTTAGCAAGCAATGGGGACAGAGGGAGGTGGGGGGCTCTCCTCCCTGTAACTGGAGATGGGAGGATGTCCCCATGGAGCTTGCTTGGGGGGGTAGCTGCAGATTTCCCTAAGAAAGCTGCCCTGGCAGGTGGGGGAGCAATCGTTGGTGGGGGCAGACTTCTTTTCCTGTCTTTCTCCATCTCCCATCTCTTCTGGGGAGCAAAAGGTGGCTGTTTTTCCCACTAATCCACTTCTGGTGCCTGCCTCCCTGGAGCCCAACTGCTCTGAGATGGAGGAGGGGCATTGAGAGGGTGGTTGGCTTTAGGCAGGGTGTCTCTGAAGATGCTGTCCCTATGGATATGTAAATCTGGCCCTGACTGTGAGCAATGCACTTGGCTGTTTGTGAAGTATGCATACATTTGAAACAAATAGCTAATGCAAATGCTGTACAGGAATTATCTTGTACCGCAGCACAGTATGCGACTTTGTGGAATTTATTCAGTGTTTATATGGAGCTTTACATCTTCAGTGCATTTGTGTAGTAATACCCAGTGAAGAAGGTATGTGAATATTATTCTTGTTGTATAGATGAAGAACCTGAGTTGCCAGGAGCTTAAATTTCTTGGCCAAAACTTGCACAAACAGTGAATGAATATTAAAACTCAGGCCTTGTTCCCAGTCCCACACTTAGTCCTCTAGACCAAGTTGCCTCAACAGCTGTAAAAGTGCCTCTTCTTCCCAGGTTTGTGTAGATTCTGTTTCCAAAACAGTAGCAGGACCTTACAAATACTCGATAGTGCACATCGCCTAGGGTCTGAGGTTGGTCAGAAACCTGGGCACCTTAATGCCATAGCACAAAATGCTAGCATTAAATTACTTCATCATCCAGATTTAGGAGTTTTCAGCAGCTGTATTGATTAATCCTGCCTCCTTCAAAAGTGAAATGTGTATCTGTGATCAGTTTGTTTGCTATTTGGTGTGAGAGAGCTAGTGCAAGATATTCAGGAGCTTCATTTTTTTTCTGTTCCCTTTTAACTTAGGTTTGCTGAACATAACATTTTTCTCAACGGGATGGTTAGAAACCAGACAACTATCTATGCCACCAGCAAGATCTTCCTGTCACTTCCTGTCTTGTCATTTGGAAGCTAGTTAGTGTGTGTGTTGGTACCCAACAGGTGGAGAAATACAAAATATTGTAATGGCAGTAATGAAACTCAGGTTTCAGATTAAGGCATCTCAGTACTGGCTAGGCATCTGAAGTTAATAACTGGCTCCATTTTGAAATCAACAATGTGGACACAAAAACAAATGAGTGGGACTAGACTTCCTCATTTATGAGCATATATTCAATCTAACTGAAACCTGGGGGGATAATTCCCAACCTGGAAAAGGAGTGGTTCTCTCCATGTAAAAAATGGCATTATCTGTGTCTGAGTCAGTGATAATTCATGATCTTGAATGGCTAGTGGGCAATATCCTAAAAGATAAAGCACGAGAGAGGGGTGTTGATATCTACTGCAGACCGCCAAAGCATACTAAGAAACAGGGTGACCTATCTATAAAGTGTGTAAGCTTTATAATCACAGGGGACTTTTTTGCTCAATCAATTTTTTTTCTGCCATGTTCGGTATTTTTTGTGAAAGTATCTGGCAATCCTATTCCTAGTTCAAAAAGTGTTGTATCCAACGTAGAGAAATTCAATATTAGCTCTTGTCTTGACAGATAAGAGGAAATGAACACAGAACTAAAAGTGAATAATCATTTAGGTACAAGTGATAATCACAAGCTTAATCACATTTATAATATGAAAACACAATCAAATCCAGACCCGTAATCAATAGACCTGATGCTTTAAAAAGGCCAGTTTTATAAAGCTGACAACAGTTATGAGCCAAAACACCTGAGAGGAAGAATTTAATCAGAAAAATGTGAGTAATAATTGGGAATTGGTTAAGAATATTTTATTAGATGCTGCGACAGAGTGCTGGGCAACAGCTGCTGTACCAGCACTCCGATCACTAGATCACCAATAAAATCAGCCCAAGAGCAAAGCTGTGCCGAATTTGGGTTAGGTTGAAAAGAGCTACAAGGCTAATTACTACATTACCCTAGAAATTAGAAAGGGTCCAGGAAGCAAATGCTTGGGGAAGGAATGCTTTTGTGAGTCAGATCCAGGAGAGATCTCCCAAGGAGGAGATATGAGCTGTCTCCCATCTCCTTGGCAGAGTGAGCTAAGATGCTAGTATTCTATTACAAAAACACTGAGCAGCACAAGATTGTATAAACAGTGGAGAGAATGTTACATTCAAGGGCACGTCTATACTAAAGGGGAAGGTCAACTTAAGATACGCAACTTCAGCTATGTTAATTATGTAGCTGAAGTAGATGTATCTTAAATTACTGTCCACACAGCAGAAGGTCGACAGAAGCTTCCCAACTACCAAACACTCTGGTTGGCTTCCCTTATTTTTCACGAGGAGCAGAAATACCAGTGCCCATGGGGCACCCTCTCAGTTCAAATTAGTGGGTATTCACTAGGTAAATCGTACCCTAGAAGATCGACTGTGGGAACTTCAATCTTCTCCGTAGTGTAGACATGGCCTTGGAGAAATAGAATTAGCAGACTCTTGTTTGGGAGGTAAAACAATATGCCACATTTATTGTGAATACAGAATTCATTTAGGGCACATCTACACAGAAGCATTATTTCGGAATAACTAGTGTTATTTCGAAATAACAAAGTTAGTGTCTACACAGCAAGCGAGTTATTTCAAAATAATGGACTTCTTATTCCAACTTCTGAAACCCTCATTTTATGAGGAATAGCACTTGTTTCGAAATAACACCAGTTTTGAAATAGGCACCGTTGTAGTGATTTCAAAATAAGTGACCTCCAGGGCTTTCCAC